ATATATATATGTATATCCACAAAAATGTTTACAACAATGTTTACAGCAAATATGTACATAATAGTCTACTTGAGAAGACAGGGTTTACAAAGCACATACGGAGACTTTAGTAAGTTTTTTCTGGAATATGTCCTAATATTCAATTTCTTGGATGAACATATTTCTATTTTAAAATCAAGCTTTATTCAATCATCTTAGCTCAAAAGTTAAGATGAGGTAGAATATTTGAATTTTCTTTTTATCTTTTTGAGACAGGGTTTCACTATGCAGTTCAGACTGGACTTGGATTCACTTTGTAGCCCAGGCTGGCCTTGGCCTCCCAAGTGCTAGATATATAGGTGTGAATCTTTGACTCAATCTTCCTTCCTTCCCTTTTTTCATACCAGGAATCAACTTGGCAACCTCATGTTTGCCAGGCAGGCACGATGCCTTTGAATCATATCCCTGACCCTACATTGATTTTCTTTTTTTTTATTTGGCACTGGGAATGGAACTCAGGACCTTGCACTTGCCAGGCAGGGGCTGTGCCCCTGAACTATAACACTGGTTGAATGTTTAAATTTTTAAATTTAGACTTCGAAACCTCTATCATTACAATTAAGCTAATTTTTCTATGTTTAAAATATAAATTCTAGGATAGCCAGAATGATGGTTTCAGGCTATATGGTCAGTTTTATTTCCTTCTTAATATGTGTATCTTCAAGAGTTATCTTTTTGGATTGTTTATGACTGTCTGCATCCATGTACAAATTTGAAATTGCCCTAAGATTCCCTCTGCACTTGTTACTTACCAAATCCCGTTTTGAAAAATGGGATGACGACTCACTACTAAGCAAGGGTCGTGTGGCAAGAATTTCGATTTTGCCCTCTAGTCTGCCCTCCATGGTTTTAATGGCATTCAAAAGCGTCTTCAGGGAGATTCTGGAGTCTCCCATCTCTGCACAAGTCCTCACAGAAGGTGGGGTGGGTGCGAAGGTCACACGCCGCGTGGAGTTTGAAACGACACTTGGCAGACCAATGGCTGAACTTCTTGTTTTCACGCTATTTCCGTATGGCCTAGTGCTCTCGAGGGGTTTTGAAGATGGGGGCCTCTCTGGAGATCTCCTTTTTCTTGGAGGCATCATGAGTTAAAAACAATCAAACCAACTAAACCTGGACTAGAGATTGTTCTTGAGGAGTCCCTCACTTCACTAGGAGAAACTGTAGGATGTTCTGGAAGAGGCCTCAGTGAGAAACATCTGAAAGCATGCTCCTTGCTTGAAAAGAATGAAAGACCACGCTGCAGAGCACGGCCCGGGGAAGCCACGGCCCTCAATCCAGAGACCACGTCGAGCGAACCCTGCTTCGCAGGTGCAGTCTCCCCACGAATAGGCAGGGTCGGCTGGGTGGAACCCTCAGCCTGTTCCAGAGGAGACAGGTTCTAAATGCCTTGGTTACCAGGTGCATAGGGACACAAATGTCATAGACACAGGGGTGACATATGATGTGCAGAGAGCCAAGGGCTTTTAAAGATCTAGTGTACCTATGCACAGGATAAATAATCAAGCAGTGAAATCTACCACTTTCTTGGGTAAGACACTCTTGGTTACGTCCTCCTTAAATGTCTTACGTATTTTGCTTGTTTAACACTTTCTGTATTCATTTGTCACCATGTTTCGTGAGCTAATCAGGCCCTCAGGCTCAACAGACACTGGGCTGAATAAGCTCCTCACCTATCAGCCCCTCTTTCAGATGAGCTTGTACGCTACAGGTACCTTGTGGGCACCGAGTTCTGAGTTTGCCTGTAATTCAGAAAACAAAGGTACTTATTCCTCATATCTGCCACGATTTTTAAGGCTGAAATTAAAAAACTGCTTCCTTTATAAAGGTATTTCTCAGCACTTTCAATCATAATAATATTCACTATGAGTATTTGTTTATATAATTTATTTTTTCTGAAAGACCTAGCTTTCTATTCTAGAATAGTGTCTTAAATACATTCCTAAACATCTTTTTAGAAGTAAGTTGAATGTTCTAATTCTGCTTCAAGTATCTAATTGTTCTGACTATTTTCATGTGTGGCTGTTTTAGAAGAATCCTGGAGGAGACAGATGTTTGTGGAATGGAGTTGAGAGGGCATTCACAAGATGGCCAGTGCCTGTCAGCCCAGCATGCAGACAGGCAGATCCCAAGTTCCAGCTCAGCCTGGACAACTGAGGGACCTGGGGAGACCCCGACTAAAAATAAAAATTAAACAAGGCTGGGGAAGTAGGTTAATGTGAAGGTCCAGGGTTCAATCTCCAGAGAGAGAGAGAGAGAGAGAGAGAGAGAGAGAGAGAGACAGACAGACAGACAGACAGAGACAGACAGACAGAGACACAGAGACAGAGAG